TTTCCCTACTAGAGTAAAAAATTGTGAGAGACCAGATTAGTCTTTAACTGCCTTTAATCTATAGCATCACTTGCTCCCTGAGCACTGGAGAGACAAGCAAAGGTGCAAAAGCATTTCAGAAGTTTGCTCACGGGACAGAACAAACCCAGTTGAACATGACCCTTCTGTAACCCACAGGCTTCAGCAGAGAGCGGGTGCCCAGGGACTGAGTCAGAGCAAGCTGCTGTGCTGAAGGGTCTACATCTGCAAGACGCGTCTACTTCTGGTGAGCACGTCAGTATACAGTCACTGTTGATAGCGATGTACTGGATAGGATATCATGACATGAACCTAAAAGCCCATGACCGACAGTAAGAACAAAACTTGCCATCAGTTGGAGAGATGCAGGCAGATGATGCGTTAAGACATTTCATGCTGAAACGTTTTTGAACATATCGAAGTTGTGAGATTAAAGTCACTGAGTTTTGATGGGGAAAAAAACCAAAAAAACCCACCTAACCTGAAACAAACCAGTCCTCAGAGATTCAGCTTTGCTTTTATCAGCAGTCTTCATGAACAAAGAAATTCTTGGCCTGAAAGTATTTGCTCTGTGCGAAACAACAAAAAAGGAACGATTCCAGAAAGAGCACAAGAATTAACAGAAAAGTCTACTCTGGACTCCTGTTTTGTTAGAGAATACACCATTGGGTCCAAGATGTAACCCACTTGAAAGTTGTTTTGATTCGGTAGGAATGCATCCCTTTGGAGTCCAAAGGCTTTGATCCCAAGTGTCTAAGTGAGGAATAACAAATATGAAGCCTAAAATTAATAGCACAGACCTATCAAAATTTTGCTTTGGGGTTGCAGCCAAACGGAATATTGGAAAACTGATAATCCTTCATTTCTACAATAACGCTCATACATTAGTAACCATGAATGACAAAGCAAGAACATGTTTGTCTTGTAGTCTGTATGTCAGAGAACAGAAAATGAAATATTTGGCAAATGAAAAAGTTACCAATACAGCTGCAGGAAAAATACAGACACATTTGACTTGTAGTAACAAACTCTGGCATGTCAGAAGTATATTTTACAAGCTCATACTTCACTCTTCTAAACCTCTTCGCCACCAGTTCCCAATGTTCTTATATACTTTATTGGCAAGAAATGCAACTACTACAGTAAGTTATTGACATCTGCCAGAAAGATCAATAAATCTATTGAATCCTGAAGCAGAAATCCAGGACTGTTCACAGATGTGCTGATACCAAAAACTAAAACATCCCATGGACAACATTATTCTCACCTGACACATTCGTTTTAGCTGGATGACAGAGGAGAGAGGGTAGTACCAATAGCTGAAGATACCCTGCTTTTAAATCTTGAGCCTTGGCTTCCACCATTCAGCACGGTAAACAACCATGTTCCAATGGAAACATCAGTGCTTATGGGTCATAGGCAGCAGTGGTCCTCATGACATTTATGAATAGATGCTATATTGAGGGAAGGAGGGTGGCATGTCTTTACTAAGAAAATATCACTGCAATTGAAACTATATAGAAAAAGAATGTGTTTTAGATGATCCGCTTTTATTTTTAAATTGCGGCAGCATTACCTTCTAATTTTCTCAAAGTGAAGAAGTTTCCACCTTTATCAAAGTCCGTATGTAGGAACAGCTGCTTTGTCAATACTACCCAAAATGCATGCT